ATCATTCCACACTTCATTTTAGCGGCGTTAGTTGTCAGTGTGAACACACTACTTACACTATTTATACTACAAAAGGGCGAAGAATAGTGCATAAGTATGCGATTTGGGACGCAGCTATTGTGTTTTCCGTTTATTCTTGGTTGTGAAGTGCATTATGGGATGTTGATCTCTGCTCTGTCGACTTTTGATGTGGAAAATTAAACTCTGTGACAGTGACTCTTTGTAGACAGAGGGGGCGCTGTGTTTAGAGGTGCAAACTCGCTTTACCTGCACATCAGTGGCGAGCAAGAGGTGGGACAGCAGAGTTAAGCCTGGTTTATAGACCTTTTTCTTAGAACGCAAAATTACCCATCATGCTTTGCGTGTATGCGCAAGGAGAATGCTAAGAACTTCCGGTCGGCAGCTGATGCGTAGAAACAGTCACATTTGGACAGCTTTGAAACGATAGTTTTAATCTACTTTATTCGCTTAAGGGCATCCGCTGCGTATAACAAATTCTGGAATAGTTGGCGGTTGATTCCACTGTGGTGATCCCTGATAAATAAGGGACTAAGCCGAAGGAAAAGGAATGAATGAACTCACAGTAACACAAGTCTGGGATGAACACAGAGCTGTATATTGGTAGACTGCGCCAGAGCGGCTGCCTGATTTTATACAAACGAGACATTCTGTCTTTACATCAATCTAGGTTGATCAAGCGGCCGAAATGAGGCTAGTTTTTGGCACGCTGATCCACACGCTGTTTGGCAGGAGCTAGTGTTGAATTTAGATTTGATGTGCGGTGTTAGGCCAATTCTCAGTGATTAATCTCTTCCCCAGTGGCAACTTTAAAACCCAAGCCAGCAAATGTGTGGATGCATATACTCACTCGCTAATGCATATTTGCAAAGAAATCCAATCTGACTGGCTGGTTTTATTCAGCTTGAGGAAGCGATGATAGCACTGGAAACAAAGTCATGTTTACAAATGTTGACGCATTGAAGGAAACAGTATTACTGTGGATTTAGCAACGCTTGCTCGCTTACTTGCATGCATTATCTGCATTGTTAAAAATGCAGGGTTCCACACAATTCATCCATGTTGTCCCAACACAAATCGATTAAGATAATGTAACATATGCAGGTTGATTGAACATAAAACAATTAATTTGTCCCAAAACAATATTAAGAATTGAGTTGTTTCAGCTCATTTAAAATACATAGTTTAAACGAACAGCACACATTCTTTTTGAGTGTTATCTATATATATTGTTTGAAAAATTAACTATTTCTTTATTTCTCTAGTATTCTCCATTAAACGGTAACCCCTGTATATTTAACCAAGTTTGCTAGATTACCTGTATGAAATGTTTGTTAAAAGCATGTCATCTTTAGATATAATTAGAAATTTTAACCATTTCTATTCGTTTTTAAAGGAAACAGTAAATAACAAAGTTTGCTAGCTTGATTACTAGAAATATCTTAATGTAACACATTTAAGTGGATTGAACATAAAACAATTAATTTGTTCCAAAAAAAAAAAACAAGAATTGCATTGTATCAGCAACTAGATTGCTTACCTAAAATACTTGTTAAAAGCACATCATTTTTGGATATCCATTAAAGGAAACAGTACGTATATATATATATATCCCCAGCATACAGTTGAAGTCAGAATTATCAGCCCCCTTTTGAATTTTTTACTTTTTTAAATATTTCCTAAATAATGTTTAACAGAGCAAGGAAATTTTCACAGTATGTCTGATAATATTTTTTACTTGTTTTATTTTGGCAAGAATAAAAGCAATTTTAAATTTTTTTAAAAACATTTTTGGGACAAAATTATTAGCCCCTTTAAGCTATTTTTTTTTTTCCGATAGTGTACAGAACAAACCATTAATATATAATAACTTGCCTAATTACCCTAACCTGCCTAGTTCACTTTATTAACTTAGTTAAGCCTTTAAATGTCACTTTAAGCTGTATAGAAGTGTCGTGAAAAATATCTAATAAATTATTATTTACTGTCATCATGGCAAAGATAAAATAAATCAGTTATTAGAAATGAGTTATGAAAACTATTATGCTTAGAAATGTGCTGAAAGAATCTTCTTTCCTTTAAACAGAAATTGGGGGAAAAAATAAACAGGGGAGCTAATAATTCTGACTTCAACTGTTAATATATAAATATATATATACAGTTGAAGTATGAGTGTGTAAGCAGGTGTCCTGCAGATTTTAGCTCCAACCCTAATCAAACAAACCTGAACAACCTAATCTAGGTCTTACTACAGTAGGTACACTTGAAACACCCAGGCAGGTGTGTTGAGGCAAGTTGGAGATGAACCCTGCAGGGCACCGGACCTCCAGGAACGAGATTGGTGATGCTTGTTATAGACATTAATGGTGACAGAAGAAGTTGTGGAGGCACCTAAATGCTTTTTTGGGTTATTAAAGGTGTTTTCACGACCCTTTTTAGCCTGCATTAATCCATGTGGTCCCACTTTATATTAAGTGGCCTTAACTAATATGTACTTACATAGGAGTTAATAGTTTGTTACAATGTACTTATTGTGTAAATACATGTATTTATGGTGTACTTATGCTTGATTAAATACATGTATGTAATTACATCTGTAATTAACTTTTGTAATTACATTTGTAAAACACTGTTAACCATCCCTTACACCTTAACCCACCCTTAAACCTACCCACACCACCAAACCTGTCCATAACCCAACCTCTATCCCAACTCAAAAGCACCACAAGTGTTCTCAAATACATTATAAACACAGTAAGTACATTGTATTTATTTTTTGATGTAAGTACATAGTAGTTAAGGACACTTAATATAAAGTGGGACCATCCATTTAATGTATAGGTGCATGATTAAACATTAGAAGATCAGGATCTCAATTCAAACACCCTTTTACAAAAATACAAACAATCAAACAACACAGAAGCACTGGAATTTAACAGTTTATAATTCAGAAACACTGCAATGCAACTTGATGCTCTTGAAAGTTGTAGCATTTACATTGTTTAACCAATAGGTGGTGAAAAACAACCTTCAAAACTATGCCACTGAATAATTTTTCAAAATAATACATCTAGTAATGCAACATGACATTTTATGAATGAATTATTAAACCAATAATTGAAAATGAGACTAAAAAAAAAAAAAAATATATATATATATATATATATATATATATATATATATATATATATATATATATATATATATATATATATATATATATATATATATATATATATATATATATATATATATATATATATATTTATTTATTTATTTTATATATATATATATATATATATATATATATATATATATATATATATAATATATATATTTTAAAATATATATATATAAATATATATAAAAAAAAAAATATATATATATATAAATATATAAATAAATATATTTAATTTTTATTTAAATTTTTATATATTTTTATAATATAATAATAAATATAAATAAATATATATATATATATATTAATTTTATATATATATATATATATATATATATATATATATATATATATATATATATATATATATATATAT